CTCTCTCTCTCTCTCTCACACACACACACACACACACACACACACACACACACACACACAGACAAAGGGGGTCCGAAAGGGGGTCTGAAATCCCCCGGCAGGTGAGTGCGCTGGGAGGGCCCGGCCCCCAACCGGGTGCCCTGCCCGGCCAGGGCGCCCGGAACCTCCCCCGGGCCCCTGCCTGTCACCCGGGCGGCCCGGATCCCCACTCAGTCCGTTTGTTCATTCTATGTTTGCAATGCTTTGCATCATACTTGATGCGCCGCACAGCGCATGCGCACACGTTCACGCGCTCATGCGCCTCACAGCGCATGCACACACGTTCGCACGCACGTGATGCAGCGCATTTGCGCAATAATTCAAAAGAAAAAATCAGAAAGGGTAGGCCGTGGTACCCATAAGTGTCCCTCCCTGCACAGAAAGACAATATTTTGTGGCCACATTGTACCCCTCATTGGATTTAGTATCTTTTCCGAAGGGTCCCCTGCAAGAAGAATTAGCGGGGATCCTATTCATTTGGAAGAACGTGAATTGAACTGCAGGAGGAACATTAGCAGGCCAGCACTATATCCTGTATTCGGATTCAGGTCTGTGTTCCAAGAGTTATGGGTTACGAAAGTACTACAAACAGTACAGTAGCTGTCTCATTTTTTTGTTTTTTCCTTTTCTTACGTGCGTGCAGTGGCCCTAAGGGCCTCCCCCCACTCATCAGCACTTGCATAAAAGAAAAACGTATGGCTTGTATGGTTCCAGTTTCTAGGAGAAGATTCATTCTAGTTTTGCACATACAGTAGCTGTCTCGTTGTTTTTATTTTCCTTTTCTTACGTGCAGTGGCCCTAAGGGCCTCGCTTCACTCATGGTTCCAGTTTCTTGGAGAAGATTCATTCTAGTTTTGCAAATACAGTGTGAGTAGTGGAGTGAAGGCTTGATAATCACATGCCGAGTTAGTAAGTCAGTAACCCATAACTGCTGAAACACGGACCTGAATTCGAAGCTACACCATATATAGCTGGCCTGCTCCCTTACAAGTCCAGTGATACCCCGTCCAGGGATACCCCGTCTCCTGCTGACGGGACCCTTGCCAATTTTTGGCAGGGACCTTTTGAAATACCGGCAGGGGTTGTCTGAATAATGTGAAAGGGCTCTGTGCTCTCTCTCTCTCTCTCTCCCCAGCGTGTATACACACATTACAGTTTTTTTTTTTTTTTTTTTTTTTTTTTTTTTTTTTTTTTTTTTTTTTTTTTTTTGCGTGCGCGCGCGCACACACATCTGCGATTAGCGCTACGCGCCGCAAGTATGCTCTGCATCCATCCCTCTTTTTTTTTTTTCGTTTTTCTTTTTTTGGTTCTTATCAGTCCTTTTTCTCTTGTCTTCTTTCGTTAATGCAATGTGCGCTGGAAGGAAGGGAGCTGGACAGGATCTCTCTCTCTCCCTCTCTCTCTCTCTCTCTCTGTCTGTCTGTCTGTCTCTCTCTCTCTCTCTCTCTCTCTCTCTCTCTCTCTCTCTCTCTAAGCTCTTTTCATTGTTGTTACGATCCTGGTCCTTCCCAAAATGCAAATTCACAATGAAAGACAATGCCACCCAATTGCGAAAGAAATGAAAGCACTTGCAAAGAGATAGAGGCAAAAGAAGAGAGAAAGAAGAAGAAGAAGAAGAAGAAGAAGAAGAAGAAGAAGAAGATGTACACCAGCAAGACCAATGACAAATCCCCCTTTTCTCTCCACCTTCCTCCTCCTCCTTCACTTCGCCAATCTTATTCTTCTTCCAATAATAAGCATAACAATGAGTGGATGAACCAGAATCAATATCCGAAGTTCCCTCTTACTGCTGACACAACCATAGGTCCACCATAGCTATGGCTTCCGCTCTTCTTCCACCTCTCACATGCCTAGGCTATGGCGGACTACTGAGGGCTGTGCCCTCCTGTGCAAAGGACAACGCAAAGCAGCTATGTCGCTGCAGTCCTGTCCAAAGGACAACCCAAAGCAGCTATGCCGCTGCTGACTAAGCCCCCATGCCTGACTCTGTCTCGAGCTTCCTTGGTGCGGCACTACCCCAACTGGGGCCTTCCAGATGCAGCGCCCAACAAGGTGATGAAGATGGTGTCCACCATAGCCAGGTAGGTACCTCGCCACTCTCCTCCTTCGCCCCCTTCTTCCTCCTCCTCAGGCTGGGCTGCTCGCCATAGCCAGGCTGAGCGCCCAGCTGTCCTTCACCTCCAGGCAGCGCTGCACAAGTCCAGCGCTTGGCTCCCGCAGCATGTGGCCAATCCTTGCATACCGCAAATGAGGAGCTGCTGCTTGCTCCTCCAGAAGATATAGCGGCCTACTGGCCTCTTGGGTGGTGACTTCCTAGGCCGACCGGCCTCCCAGCAACCGGTACCTCCTCCCTTTCAGAGGGAAACATCATTGCAGGCTCTGCTATCATCCGGACAGGCCCTAGACTCAGGCTACTTGGACTGGTACCGGCCTACCTCTAACCTACCGCTACTGGGCCTCTAAAAATGCCAACTTTTGTCTTCTTCTGCTCAGCCTCCAGTACCCAACACTTCTACCACTACTTGAGTGGTACCGGCCTACCTGCTACTTGAGTGTTTTTCCCGCTGCTTTAAGTGTCGCGGGCCTACCCCCCGCTACTTGAGTGTTTTCCCCGCTGCAACCCTCAAAGTCACGGCCACAGGTAAGTACCGGCCTTTCAACCAACAAGCACCCTTGCGGGTCTCACGCACACTCAGCCGACAAGCACTCAGAGAGGCACGCAAACCAGCAGGCAGGCACACACACACAGACTTGGAAACCACAGCAGAATGCGGGAATCTCAGCAAAGCATTCATTCCAGCGGCAAATCCCAGAAATCAGCAGTGTTCTCAGTCTGTGTTTTGGCGGGTCATTGCATTGTTGTTTTTATTGACTTTTTAATA